GGCCTGCCCGCGGCTGCTCTCCCCTTGCCGCTGGCTGCGTGTGAGCTAACGCCCTGCTCTTCTCAGGGCGTCAGAAAGCTCAAGACCTTTCCATTTGCTTCCCTTTACACCTGAGTGATTTACTCAGAGCTGGGAGGTATTTCGTCCTTTTTAACCCTTTCTTCTTGGGGTTATACCTGTTGGCGTGGAGGTATTACCTGCTTTGGGGTGGGAGCGCCCGGGGTGCAGATGCCAGATAAGTACAAAATACGGTGCTGTACGCGCAGCTCAGAGGGAGGTGTGACTCCAGCAGGACCAACCCTAGCCCTCACCCTGCCCGGGCCGGGCCTCGCGCAGGGCTCCCAGCCCTGGCAGAGCCTCACCGTTCCCCGGGGAGAAACCTTTGGCCACCATTGATTTTCTGCCGGCAGCTTCTTTCCCGCCTCGCTCCAGCTGGGGCTCTGGGCTTCTTTTCTGTTATTAACATTAACCCTAAGCTGAGCCGTAGACAAGGCACAGCAGCGTTTCTCTAGACTGTTGACTTCCTCAGGGGGTTTCTTCTTTGCAGCCCTCATTTTCCTGCGGCAGCTCTTTTCCAGCCCTGCTCCAACTGTAGCTCTGGCTTTTTCTTTCCACCAGCCCTAACGCTAAGCCCAAGCCCAGGCCAAGCCAAAGGCCAGGGACACTGCTCAGTCCGGAGACTCAGTGTTGCTTGTGAGCAGAACTCTTTTCACAGCTCTCTTTCTCCTTGGTCGGCTCTTCTCCAGCCCTGTTCCAGCTGCGCTTCTGGCTTTCAGTGCGGACCCTAACCCTAGTCTGAGCCACGAGCCAGGGACTGACTGTTCAGAAACGCAGTAGTCTTCAGAGGAGAATTGTTTTGGCAGCCCTAAGTTTGCTTTGGCAGCCCTTTTCCAGCCCCGCTCCAGCTACAGCTCTGTAGCTTCTTTCAGCCTTAACGCTACATATGGGCATGGTTCTTCAGAGCCAAGTGAAACAGACTGAGAGCGCCTTGAGGCCAAGATCAAAGGCAAATATAACAGAAAAGGTGTGGAAAAAAGAATGAAGTACAGAAATAGAGAAAACCTGTTAAGGATCATGAAATTAGCCTCCCTATACCTTGGAGTTTCCTTTTATAAACTAAGAAATAGACTATACTGACCTGCTAGTTTGCAAAATGAAAGTCAGATAAGAGAGATCAGATGTGGAAGAGGTCTAGAAATGCAATAGCACATGCAATCTTGAAGAAGAATTTGAATGAAGAGACTGAAGCAGAAGAATGTACTATATCAGGGAGGAAATTCCATAAGAGGGGGCCAAATCCAATGGGATTCAAGGTCTGAGCCTTATTTTCTCTGAAGCTTATTTACTTTCCTTTGTAGTAAATGAAAATCCAGGGCTTTGAAGTCTGTAGCCCCTAGGTCTTCTACAATTGCAAAAAAAATTTGCCAGTTTCAGGCCATAAATAGGTTGTTTATTTAGAGGCTTACAGTGTTTATTTTAGAGTTTGTAACACTCTATAATTGTTATGTACTAAAGGATTCATTATAATAATTAGTATTTAAATTTATAATTCAGTTATTAATAGTAATAATTTATGCAAGGAATCAAACTTATCTCTCTCGCTACAGCATCATAATCATGTAAAAAAATCTCCTGGGACTTTCAAATAAGATCATCAATCCAGCTCTGTGCCAAATTGTTTCTGTAATAAATAGTTTTGCCAGAAGCTACCAAATCCACAAAGGGCCCATAGTGCAGCAAATTCAGCAGTTGAGACTTTTTCATATAAATTCTTCTGCTAGCAGATACTCCTCTTCTGCTAGATGGTCAACAAATTTAAATGCCAGCTAAAGCACTGATTGTTAACAAGTGGAAAAACAGTGGCCTGTTATGTAAGCAAGTCCCAATCCATCTAAGAGCTTTTGAGTTAAAACCAGCAGGTTGGAGCCTATCTGTTGGTGCCACCGTAAAATTATTGTTTTTCTCAGACAGGAAGGCAATAGCTTCAGTCACCACGCAGCCTCATGTTACTGCAGAGCTTCAAAGCAGCTGGCTGGGCTTTTGCAGTAGTTCAAGCTCATGCTGTCAAAAGCATGGATAACAGCGTGATAGCAAGGCTCATTGGTGAGATGGCAGCCAAATGCACACATAAAAATTTGCTGCTTAACTCCGATGCACTGTTCCTTTATGGCATTGTGTTCAAATGCACTGTGCATCCAGCACCTGGATCAGGGACCAGGACTGATCAGCATCTTCATTAATGTCCTAGATGATGGGCAGAGTGCACCTTTAGAAGGTTTGCAGATGATACAAGACTGGTGGTTGTGCTGCCATTCAGAGGGACCTTGACAGGCTGGAGAAATGGGCTAACAGGAATTTCAAGAAGTTCAACAAAGAGAAATGCAAGGTCCTGCACCTGGGGAGGGACAACCCCAGGCACTGCAGGCTGGGGCTG